TAAAATACATTTAATTCTTTACTTAATATTATGTTTTAGGAATTAACAGAATTACATCATGAAAATGTTGTTGCATTGTTGGATTGTAAGGTTAGTATAATAAAAATTAATATGTAATATTGACATTAATAGAAATAAAATATTTATATAAATATTAAATAATATAATATATAAATTAAATAATAATTAATATTGACATAATTTTTTTGTTTGTTATGAATTTATTGTTTAGGAGTCTAATTATAATGTCTTCCTCGTTATGGAGTATTGTAATGGTGGAGATTTAGCTGATTATTTAAGTGGTATGTTTTCTAAAAAATATATTATTAGAATATTTAAATAATATCTTAAAGCAATTGTATTTAATCTATTTCATTTTTTATTAATTTTTTTAGCAAAAGGCACTCTTTCTGAAGATACTATTAGAGTGTTTTTAAAACAATTAGCAGGTGCAATGAAAGCACTCCATGCCAAAGGTGTAGTCCACAGAGATCTTAAACCACAAAATATTTTACTCAGTCATAATTGTGGTAAAGCTTGTCCACAACCACATCAAATAACATTAAAAATTGGTAAATATTTATTCATTTTCTTTTTAATTTAAAGATCTATTGAAGATATATTTAAAAATTATTAAAATAACAATACAGCATATTATTTTTTTGTTATTAAAAAATGAAAATTTAATTTTCCAGCGGATTTTGGTTTTGCAAGATTTTTACAAGATGGTGTAATGGCTGCAACATTGTGTGGATCACCAATGTATATGGCACCAGAAGTTATAATGTCACTTCAATATGATGCAAAAGCAGATCTTTGGTCTTTAGGAACAATAGTTTTTCAGTGTCTTACTGGGAAAGCTCCATTTCAAGCTCACACACCTCAAGCTTTAAAATTATTTTATGAAAAAAATGCAAATCTTGGACCTAAGTATGTTACAATATATGTATCATATTTTTATCATGAAACAAAAATTGTATTAGTTTTATTATGTTTTTTAATTTCTTATATTTTAGAATTCCTCCTGGAACTTCACCTGAACTATCAGATCTCCTAATGGGTTTATTAAGACGTAATGCTAGAGATCGTATGCCCTTTGATGAATTTTTTGGACATCCTTTCCTTCAAGGTTCTAGAGAAAGTCCCAGTCCAGTTCCTGCTGAACTCCCTGCTTCTCCAGGAACATTAACAATTCAAGAAGGAACTACAGTTATAAGATCAGAACCAGAAACAACTAGTCCGTGTTCTAGTCCTGAAGATGACTTTGTGCTTGTACCAAGTGATCTCAGTAGTGACACAGACAATAATCCTAATACGCAACAAGTAAAGTATGTATTTTAATAATAACACAATAATACCCTATAAATATATTTTTATCATTATTATATATGTAATATTATTATTAATTAATTAGGTATATTAAACAAGCTAGTAGAGAGGCAGTGAGTCCACCACGACCATGTTTTCTTCCTATTTCGGAGCCAATTCCTGTTCCATCACAAAGAAGTATTGCACAACCATCATCTCCTTCTACTAATATAAGATCAGGAAGCAGTATTGTTCCTCGCTCGCAACCAATAAGCATGAAACGTAGTGTGGATACTCATAGAAGTCATGCTCCTGATATTGGCTCTCTTAGTCCACCTAGTGTTCAATTTGTAATTGGTACACCACCCAGTAGAAGGTATATAAATATATTGTATTATCATATTGATATAGATTGTTTTATATTTTTATATATTTTATTTTATATTATTTTATAATTATGATTTTATAAAATAATATATATCATTATTTAAATTCATTAAACTGATTATTTTTAGATTGAGTGAAACACCTCCACCGCCAAATACATGGCAAGTTAGTCCTGTTGCAAGGCATTCACATACTTCGAGTGGAACGTCACCATTACGGCGTTCAACTGGAAATAATAGTGCATCCTCACCACTGTTAACAGGACCATTAGCAGTGTTAGGTTCTCCTACATCAAGAGCATTTCAGGATAATAATAACACATTGAGGCATTCACCAGTTATTCCTTTTGGTACAAGAGCAGTTACTCTTCCTGAAATATCTGGTAGATAATTATATATTTCTAAGTTATTATAATAATAAATATAATAGAAATAATATATATAATTATAATATAAATAATTATAATAATAAATATTTTATATTAAATTCTTTAATATAATTTATACTTATTTTATTATTATTTATAATTATACTTATTAAATTTGTAGAAGCGGGTAATTTTCAAAATCTTCTACCAGAAGTAAATCCTACAATAACAGATGATCGACCATTGACATTTATTGCACCCGAACTTCCAGAAGAAACGCTTTTAGAGCGGGAACACAACGAAATATTAGCAAAGTTAAATTTTGTTGTTGCATTATGCGAATGTGTATGTGAAGTAGCAAGGACAAGAGCAGGACCTTTAGGTGCACCTTTGGGTGGTATTGAACAAGCAAGCACTGCTGCAACAAGAAGAAGAGCAGAACAAGTAATTTTACTTGTTAGAGCTCTTCAGTGGCTTAGTTCTGGATTAAGTCTAGCAACACAACAACTTAAGGCTGGCAGGTTACAGCCAACTGCCAGTGTAAAAGAAGGTAATTTTCATTTGTTAATAATTATTATATATGACATATAATAATATTAAAAATAATTATATTTCAGTTGTGAATACAATGAATGAAAAATTCAGAACGTGCCTCACGGAATGTAAACAGCTCAATAGTATAGGGCTTCTTCATCAGACAGGAGCTACTGCAGATAAGATTCTTTATAATCATGCTATTCAAATGGTAAGTATACGATTAATTTTTTTTTTATAGATAAATTAAATATATTTATTTCTAAACTATTTTTTTATTTAATAGTGTCAATCAGCAGCATTAGATGAATTGTTTGGTAATCCTGCAGAATGTTTTCAACGATATCACACAGCACAGATATTACTGCATTCTTTATCACAACATGTCAGCCACAGTCAAGATAGAGCTCTCCTTATTAAATGTAATTTATTTTTTTTTTTACCAAAAAAAAAACGTTAGAATTCTTTATTTTAGAATTAATTTTTTTTTTTACTTAACATCATATTTTAAATCAAAAAATATATATACATATACATGCGCATCATTTGTTTCATTATAGATAAAGATGCTGTTGAGAAACGTTTATATGTACTTCAACAACAAGGCTACATTTATGCAACAGATCCAACATAGCGCTTGTGAAAATTGGCAACAGACTGCAGTGACCCGCCCAAATCCATACCATTCTCAATATCTCTTTTCTGTAAGATATTCTGCCCTATTCTGTATAAAAACTGTTAATTCATTGATCATTATGATCATATTACGAAGATTACATTGTAGAAATAAATTTAAAATTACATATATAGTAAATTTTGTTACACAGAATAGGGTAGATTACTCCATGAAAGAGTATGAAAGTGATTCTGTACAAGTTTCTTTATATGATTTATTAATGAATACAAATAATGAATTATAATTATATATATATAATATATATATTATATTATATATATATTGTAATGTACGTATGGTTGATTAACTAACCTTTATTTCATATCAAACAATAAATATGTCTATACTAATAGCATTGTGCATTCAATGCAAGATAGTTTCTTATTAAATAATAATGATATAATAACTGTAAAAAAAAAGTAAAATATTATTTTTATTAGATGATCTACATTAATATTATTTGGTACAGAGGTATCAAATATATTATTCTTTTTTTTCATTTGCAGTTGCTTCAATGCTTGGTTTATTATTCTTGTAAATTGCATAATTTAATGCTGTAGCAAGAGTAGTCCAAGCTAAATATGGAATAATCAAACAACCAGCATATGGATTTATGTTATAAAATGCCACACCCATTGCTGCAGTACTTCCCCACAATAAAACAATTTCATACAGAGCCTAAAAATATAAAAGGATTAGAAATGTAATTAAAAAAAAAAAAAGATATACTTATTTATATCAAAATACCCATTTTATCTTGTGTAACCCAAAAAATAATGGTGACCAAGACCAGTTTAATATTAAATTAGTTCCATAAATAGAAAGAGGTAATATTGCTTTTCTAAAACCATCACCATCTCTCCATACTAAATATGAAGAATATCCTATTGTGCAATATAGAGTTGTCCAGATTGGAGCAAATAACCAGTTTGGTGGAGTCCAAGTTGGTTTTTTCAAAGACTATTAAGTATCATTTAAAAAGTTTATTATTTTATTAAATCTAATTATATTTAAAAACAATTTTAATATAATCAATTATAATTAATATATAATAATAATCAATGGATAATTTAATAATCAATAGTTAAAAAGTATTTATTATAACATATCATAAATAATACAACACAAATAATCTATTTTATTATAAAAACAATAGTAATATTAATTTAATTTACTTAATAATGATATTATTATCTTATATTATTATTAAGTTTTAATAAATACATAAGATTTTTTTTTAAACTTGATAAAATAAAACTCAGGAATTAGATTTATTTAAATTTAATATTTATTAAAATTTTTAGATAGAATAGATAATTTAGATAAATATAATAAAATTTAATCAATATGATCAATAAAATCAAGTTATTACATATTACTTTATTACAATACAATTAACAATACAAAAATATTATTTTTTAATATAATTCAGAATTTTTATGCTTTCTGTATCAAAATAATTCTTTTAAATTTATTATTTATAATTTTTAAATTATATTATGATTAATCGATTTAATTACCTCATACCAAGGTTTGATATTTTTTCTAGAAAAGTAGCTTCCAGCCCATCCTCCAATATTTGGATGAATAATAGCTATTGCGACTGGCCACGATACTTTTACAGGCATTTTTAAAAAAAAAATATTATTTAACTATTTTTAACGATAACTTAATATCGATAGCATAGAGTATATATGAATAGACATATTACGACGACGGTTTCCAGTGTTGTGACTGCTTATCTACTTTAAAGTGTTATGTATTTGGATATCAGCATTTATATATTTTTATTTATATAATACAATGACTAAGAAAAATTGCAATATCATGTCTATAAAATGCAAATTTTAATGATAATAATAAGTATATTACAATTATCATATAAAATGTATATATATATATATATATATATATACACATGTATTTTCTTTGAATGTATAATAAAAACATATTATAAATTTAATAACAATCGCAATAAATGTAAAAAAAATAACTTCATAATAAATTGTATATATAACTTCATAATATTTTTTTACAATAAATTTTTTTTTTATAGATAAGTTTAATATTTTCGTTAATAAACAATAAAAAATATTAATAAATTCATTTAAAAATATAATTCTGCTATATATTATAAAAATTTGTAATGTAATAAACGTTTATTCTATTTTTTACATTTTTAGTAGCATCAATAGAAAAAAAAACAAACACAAAATGCATGCACTCAAGCACATATGCCCCTTTATAGTGTTAATAACTTATTATTTTATTTAATATTACGTAATATTTATTTACATATATAATTTAATAAATATTAAGAAGATATAATATATACTAAGAAGAAATAAGAGTTATATTACATAAATTTATAAATCGCCATGCATAAAAATTATAAATAATAAAATTATAAGTTTTAATAGTGTGAGTAAAAAAATACGTGTGCGTGAATTATATTAATTTAATTTAATTTAATTTAATATTGTATATAATATTATATATTGTATATAATATTATATATTGTAATATATAATAATAAGCATATATATGTACGAATATACATATTCTTATGTAAATGCAATTTTATATATGAAATTATTAGATTTCGTTTTCTTTTTCTCTAATATATATATAAAATATATTTTATGATGATCAAAATTTATTTATTATTTATTATATTACTTTTTAAATATAAGTTTAAATTTCAATTCAATAGATTTATGTATCAGTAACTGTAAGATATAACATTTTAAACAATCAATTAATTAAGAATTATATATGGAGAAACTTTTTAATTTATTTCTACATGAGTACTTTAAATAATATCTAAATTTTAGTTTTATTTTAAAAAACTTAACAATAAACACGCACAATTTTGATATATTATGTTAGTACTTATAAAAATAAATATTGGGTAATATAGGTAAAGTGAAAAATTTTTATCAAGATATGAAAAGGAATACAAAAAGAATACTTTCAAAGAATTCATTTTCATATTGCAACAAGCTAGTACACATTAAATGGATCTTGTGCTTGATAAAAATAATATTTATATATGTAATATGTAATGAGAGAAATATGTCAACCTATGAAAGAAAGAATTTTAAGATATTTTGTTTATTTTTAATCTTATATTCTTATATTCTTTGAATTAATTTATTATCTGTGTTATTTGTATTTTTTATAATTTTTTTCCCTCTTTTTAACATTTGTATTTTTTTTCTCACTTTTAAATTATTTTTTATTCATGAAACATTTATTTTGTATTTTATTAAATTATTTATCATACTCGCCTCACAACAAATTTCTCATTAATTTTGTTTTTTCATATTTTTTTCTCCATTTGAATCTTTTTTACGTTCAAATTTAGAAGCAAATACTCCAGGGAAATGATATTTTACACGTTCTCTTAATTTTTGACGAATTACCATAATTGTTGTTATTGTATTACCTAGAAATAATACCAAAAACATTCCACTGAGGACTGAAACATGCCATGTAGCTTCTGAATGGGATATTAATGTATACAAGATATATGCATTGTACAACTGAAACATATATCCAACAAAAAGGAACGGTAATAAAAACGATAATCCACGCCACATCCATGAATGAAAACCTTCAATGGTAATATCCATATTATGTCTTTCACCTAATGCTTTCAAGCGATATAAAACACCTCGTTGATAGCAGAATTGTAGAGACTGTACTACACCTATAAATGAATGTACTTAAAATTGTTGTTAAAAAAAAATTTTTAACATAAGCTTGAATAAATAACATACTGATATAAGCATTGAACCATAGAAATTGTTGTCTAAATGCATACCATGGCCCTGTGTTAGGCCATACTAATAAAACACCAGATACTACAGTTGAAAGGAAATGATGAAATCTCCACCAACCTTTTATTCTTGAACCATTTACCTTTAATATACTTTCTCTTATTGTCAACGTACAATAATACCAAACTAAAAGGAACATGAAACTAAGTTCCAAAGTTCTGTAATATGCATTATCAATTATTATAAATATATTTTTTTATATTCTACAAAAATAAATAATATATTACCTGATATTAGTTACTAGATTTAATACAGATAAAATAAAACCAATTACTGAAAGAACTAATTTAAATTTTTCATATTCATCTTTATATTTGAACCTAAAATATAAATGAATTATTAGAAAATATATTTTATAATATATTATCTTTTAGATAAATTATTTCTATAATGATATTATCCTTACTTATCACTTTTATTTAATATGGAAACATTAACATTGCCTAAAATAATTTGAAGATATGTGCCATTTGGTTTCGGTAAAGTTTGTTCTATTTCATGTAATTGCTGCTCTCGTTTTGTCATTTCTTTGTTTAATCCTTTTTGTGTTTCGCTCGCATGTAATCTGAGATTAAATATACAAACATAATACATTTATTGTTTATGTATTGAAAATGTATTGTTTATGTATTGAAAATAAAATATATATGCTTTTAAATTAATTACTTACTGTTTGAGTGACTTTGATATTACACTCATTCTGTATGTTTGGTGAGAAATTCCTTTCAAACATTTTGTTTGAAGTTCAACTACTTCTTCTAATTTTGCAAGATATTCTTTGTTTAATGTCTGTTAAAAAATTAAATATTGCTGTTGTTTAAGTATTATGTTGTTTAAATAACTGTTTAAATAAATTGCTATTATTCAAATAATTTTTAAAATAATTTGTATAATATGGAAAAATTTGTTCAGAATATATTGATTGAAGAATGAAAAATAACAAAAAGTAACGAAAAAAAACAAATGTTTTATATAAGATAATATTTTAAACTCATACGGAAAGATATATAAAAAAAAAACATTTAAGTTTTATAATATATTAAAAGTAATTAAACTTTTTATATACCAATTACGAGTATGGATAAATAAAAAATACACTTAACCTCACATAAAATGGTCCAACGTGTTAATCATCGACAACATCAGTACCCAGGATTAACAAAAAATTATCTTACTTCTAATTCCTTGTAATCTTGTGCTAGGTCGTTCCAATCTTTCAAACAGGATTCAACATCGGTATCCATCGTAGTAAAAAAAAGGGATGATAGCCAACAACTCACTAAAGATTCAGGTACGCAAAGATTTGTCGTAGTTGTATTACTACACTACTATCAAGTAAGTTGTACTTCCTCGGGCATTTGACGGCAGAGTGCTCTAAAGTAAAAAGTCATCTCTGACTATTCTGCTTTTTAAATTCGACATATGATAAAAAAATATTTTGAATATTTGTGAAAAGAAATTATATTTTATAATACTATTTAATTTGAATTTATTTTCAATATTGAAATTTATAATAAAATATTTGTAATTTAACATATTTTATGTATTGTATGTATGTATGTATGTATGAATGTATGTATATATGCATATATTGATATATTTTTTAAAATATGTTAAAAATTTTTTTTTTTTTAAAATTTAATTAAATAGTAATTTTAATAATACTCACTGGTTTTTAAAATAATAATTTTTTAATAGAAGATGATAATAATTTTATGTTCCATAAAAATTATAAAAATTTTCAATTATATTTTAATTATTTTTGAATAATCAAAAAATTGATTATTTTATTTTTATAGAATTACAAAATAACTATGATTATATTTGCTTGATAAAATATATTTATATTTAAATTATTTTTCAATAAAATTGAATTATTTTTCAATAAAATAGGATATTCATTTTATATAATTCAAGTTATTTGAAGATAATTTTTAATATATATATATATATATATTTCCTAATATTTACTTTTCATTTTAATTAAAATAAAGCTATATTTTATTAATTAATACTATTATTACTATTGTTTAAATATTATGTTGTTTATTGCTATATAAATATTGCTGTTGTTCAAATAATTTTTAGTTATTAATTAAAAATGTCAAAGTTTAATACTAAAATATTTTTTGAATTCTTTAATTTCATAATGTTTACTTACATATATTGTTATGTGTACTTTTAATATTATAATTTTTAATTAAATAAATGTTTCACGTTCGTCGATAATGACATGTTTATCGGTCGGGCTATTATGTAAATTATTGATCGAAAATTTTCAAACATATAATATAATCGTTTTCGATTAAATTTACTCGTATCCTGTTGTATCGTTGAATACGCGAATTTTTTCACGGTCGTTGACCAGACAGCTCCACCGATCTGCAAAGAAAAAAATACTTTGCATTCTCTGGTAAACATGTTTCTTTATTCGACTATCGTACTTCATTTTAGAATTTGTTGATTTTCAGATCTGATAAAAAAATCTGATCTATGTACTTATTTTAGCTTCTCTTGTTGATTTTCATGTATATATAATATGTATTTTTAGAGAATCAATTTCAAAAATGAACTAAAAATGGAAAAATGTTTTTAAAAAATTTTTTAAAAATAAATTTTTAATAATTAATTTTTTTATTTACAGTAGACATTGTTAAATTATTATCAAAAAATTATTTAATAATTCTTATAATAATTGCAATATATTTTAATTATATTCATACTTCATAATAATATTCCTTAATTCCTATATTAATTTTTTTAATTAATATTCTTTCTATAATCGCATATGATTGAAAACAATTTTTGATTTATATCTAATATATCATATGCATAAATATTATTTCTTCCCTAAAGAATATTATTGAGAAATTAATGTGTATTGTATAATATAATATATTATATAAAAATATTTATATAAAAATGTATTATGTAAAACATTAT